AAAGTAAAATGCAGTACCATCTATATTGATCTGTAATGTAAAATGGAATAGTGTTACTTTGATTTCATTGTTTGACACAGCATAGACTTCATTGTTATGCACATCATGGGAACCCATGTTCATTTGATGGTTCACATAGTATAGTAGGTAAAATTGATTTGAAGCTCAGAAAATGATGCACAAACATTCTAATTACCCTTATTTTCCCACTTACTCTTTGGAATTACACTAGGAGTGTATTTGATACACATTTTTTTAGGAGAGAATGCATTTTTTTGTGATGTGACGGTGAATATGTGGTTGAAAAAAGAAGGAAAATTTATTGATGTGATGAAATATTATTTTATTGAAGAATGCATGATTGAAAATGAGTAGAAGAATGAGAATGTGGCTCAAACATGGGCTAGCATTTGTTTGGTGATGTTCGAAAAGCATTCAATGGATCAGAACAATATCCGTGTGATGTAGTAGTCGTTGGTATGGAAGTTCTCTTCTGCTGCCTGAAATTAGTACTAACTTCGTGATGGAGTGAAATTACTTGTTGCCTAAAACTTGGATGAATTGCAAATCTCAACATTTTACTGAAAACGTTATCAGGCGATCCTGGACTGGGTAAAACTCAACTACTGCAAGCACTAGCAGCATATATAACCATTATTGCTGGCCTCACTGTCGCCGTGGTTAAGGATCCTATGCTTTCGAGGCTGGTATACTTCTTCCTCTTCTTTTTTCCAATTGACTGTTGCATCTAAATCTTATATGTGGCATGTTCTCCTTAAAATCTGAATATACATTTCTCAGCCATATTAAGTGATATCTTAGTTGCTGAAGATTAATCAGATTGGTTAAAGAGTCCATTCTTCCTTTTTCCCTTCTGCTCTCTTTCTTCTCTTATTATTATTATTATTATTATTTTTTTTTTTTGGTTCTAATTTGATTTATTTTCCCGGTTTCCCAATTTTGTAGTGATAACTACTCACCTTATGGATTATGAAGAGCGGTAATAACAGCATGCCTCTTGTTTGGAGATTCTGTACCTATTTCAAGAGAGGAGAGAGAAAACATGGAAGAAGCCGGCGAAGACTGAGTCATCCTGAGAGAGAGAGAGCTTACAGAGGCGGAGCATCTGTATTTGGTAGTTGGTACTTACTGAAAAGCTGTTTGTCCCCTACATTAAAAGGCCTCTGAATATGCCATTCAAAGAGTTTAAATGGTGACACTCTTCCGAATGACAAAATATAAAATGTACTCCTATGTTATGACAGTTACCCAACTTCACTGAAGTCACTCCTACTTGTTTACAATTCACTCCTCGGGCCTTAAGATTACTCTCATGCCTAGATTAGTTTAAGTATACTGTATACCCCTGGGACATCGTCAGTTTGGCTTCATGTGTGGATAATAACTGAACACCTATTTCTAAATT